GATGACACAGACGCTCCAATTTCAGCAGAAATTCTGAATTTGCAACAAAGTTCCTTGAAGTTTCTTGCAGGCAACGAGTTGCTTTCATTAATGACAAACAACTGACGAATGTCTTTGAGAAGATTGATCAGTACGGATCTGATCACAGTGATGATGAACATCAGGATCCACTCGAGAGGCTTTGCAACAGAGACGAGAGATGCAAAATTTTTGAATCGGTATGTCATATTCTTCCTTTAATGAGAAATTTGTGACTTGCAATTCAGAGGTGTTTTTTATGTTTTTCCACCAAACCTTTTTGCAAGAGTGCATTTCAGGAATGCATTTGCAACATTGTATTGCAATTTGCCAACTTTTTATTATTTTTTCCTACGCTACCAGAGTGGTTTGCGGTCACTTGCCCGCCCGGGCCAAAAAAATAAAAATAAAAAATTTTGATTTTGCTTTTAAATTTTAAATTTGGTAAAGCGAAGCCGCTACCATTCCATTTTTTTCGAAATTGATGTGACCTTGAAGCAAAAGTTGTTCAATTTATTTTTTTCCATAACATTTTTTTTTTTTGGATTTTTTTTTTTTTTTTGCTGGGACTTTCCCCGGTCCTTGCATGGGCTGGCCACCCGGGACCCGGGCGGCTTGACCGGTAGCCTATATTTTTTCCTAAAAAGAAAGGTTTCCTTCAATCGTTTTCCATCCTTTCTTGTACTAATTGTTTCATATCAATTCTTCTCCTTTTCATTATTAAAGTTCAAGATTATGTTTTTACGAAACTTCTGGCTGCACATTTAGGAATGTTGTCCTTCTTTGTAATTGTTATGTCTATGCCTTTGTCATACAGATGTTCTGAATCACTTCTCAGAAACGTTAGACAACTTGCTTACATATATAATTTTTTTTTCTTTCCTAATTGTCTTATTACCGTAGGGCCAAATCCTTTCTTTCATTAACATTGCATACATTGGTCATGATTTGTAAACTTTCCAAACCCTATCTGTTGCACTGAAAATGCTGTTTTTCTCCTTATTGAACAGGCGAAGATGAGGAAAAAATGCAGTAAAATGCTAAAGAATACAACAGAGTGTCTCAAATTACCATTGACAACAGTGGTGAACATCAAGGCTGGCCTGAAGCACGAAGTTGATGCAATGTTTCGTGCAATGGAAAGCTTGGGTTTGGGTACCTACCACGCAAATCATGAGAGAATAAGTGTTACTATCCCTTGAAGTTCAAACAGAAAAATTATATGTCCAAAACCATGTACTAATAAAACCTAACTATGCGATTGTATTCCAAAAGACTTTTAAGGGACAAAAAAAAAACTTGCAGTTATGGCTGCTTTTCTATTCTGTGGAACATCAGTCCAGTTCATGGTCACGATCCGGACATCCAGAACCAAGCCCGGACCGTCCGTGTCCGCATGTCCGGTATTGATTTATTTTATTTTTTTCGTTCAAGGCCTTCCCCAAAAAAAATCGTTTTGGGATTTTTTGACAATTTTCTGTCCCTTTCAGAAAGCCAAAGAGGGACAGACAGATAGAAACAGAGAGTGACAAACACACACACACACACACACACACACACACACACACACACACACAGAGAGAGAGAGAGAGAGAGAGAGAGAGAGAGAGAGAGAGAGAGAGGGAG